CCGCGCTGACCGTCACCCGCAGTGCGCGCGGCACGGGCAGGAAACGGCTAATTTGGGGGGGTTGTTCGTTTTTATTTTCCCCCCTACCGACAGTGAGAGCTCGGTGCCGCCTCCTGGAGGCCGTGAGCGGAATGAGGTGGGCGGCAGGAAGCAGCTGCTGCGGCGTGGGCAGCGCGGCCTCCTTCCGAGCMGCCGTGCTGCTCGCAGCGAGGGGCTCTGCCCTCCGGCCCCTGCGCCCTGCCTGCCCTCGGGCCCGCGGCCCGGCTCCCAGCACCGGCGTCCGCTCGCCAGCGAGGCATCGGCCTTGGCTTGCTGGCCCGAAACGCCAGAGCTCGCACAGAAAGCACCCAGATGTCCGATGCATCGCAAACACATGGCTGCAAGAACGTCTATGAGCCGCTTTAGGGGCGTTTGTGGCAGCGCGGGCCCGCACACASCGCAGTTCGGGGCTCGGTTGCTCGGCTCAAGCGGTGTGCGTAGCGCGAGTGGCGCCGCAGGGCGCTAGCAAAGCCGCGCACGGAGGAAACGAGAGCRGAGCAGCCAGTCCACCGCGCGTGCAGAGAGCGGCAGTGCTCGSTCAGCTCAGGGGCGGTGAAAGGTGAGCTCGTTTTTCACCGYATCCCCCGAACAAACGGTCCCTCTTGCGTCTCCCCGGCACTGCCTCCATGAATGCCGTTCCCTTGGGATCAGTGAGGCAAGGGAAAGGACTCCATCCTTAATGCTGCTTCCCCCGCCTTGTGTCAGGGTGGCCGCTTCATTCACCCACGGAGCGAGAGMAGAATCGAAGCAAATCTACGAATCTGCGGATAATTCCGAGCCCCACGCAGGCGCTCCTTTTCCCGCTGTGTAACCCGCCGSAGGGGGCGGCCGCGGCAGCGCGAACCCGCCCGCGGCAGCGCGCTGGCGGCGCGGCGCTGAGGGCCGGTGCCGAGGCGCCGCCCGGCTCCTCCCCCGCGGCCGGGCCGGGGGCGGCTCCGCGCGGCGGGGCGGCTCCGCGGGGCAGAGCGGAGCGGAGCGGAGCAGAGCAGAGCGGCCATGGAGGGAAGCGGCCGCAGCAGCAGCAGCAGCAGCGCGGGGTTCCTGCCGCGCTTCGCGCACTTCGCCACGCAGGCCATCCACGCGGGCCAGGAGCCCGAGCAGTGGCGCTCGGGCGCCGTGGTGCCGCCGCTCTCGCTCTCCACCACGTTCAAGCAGCGCGCGCCGGGGCAGCACTCGGTGAGCGGGCGGCCGGGCCGCCCCCTGCTCCGCTCGCCTTTCCCTCGTGTGCCTCGCGCGGCGGGGGCGGTCCGGGCCGCGCGGGGGGAATGCGGAGCCTGGCGGAGGGGTGCGGGGGTGGCGGC